AATGATGTCAAAATTTGGCGATCTTGGGCTCATTGGATTTGTCTCGTTGAGCCGCTCTATTTGACGATAAGAACGTCATATTTGGAAACCTTTTGGTAACTCAAATTATGGTTTGAACTTTCTAACAGCGCTTTGGGTGCTTGATTTGGACTCATTTGGGCTCAAATTGAGCAGATTTTGGTGTCGTTGAGTTTGTATTTTCGAGACGCTCAGTTTGATTGTAAGTTCACTGAAATCAGAGTTAAGGTGATCCCAAATTTAATTTTTTATGTTTCCGGCTTGATTTTGCCTTGAGATTCGTGCCCAGTGAAGATGATTTTTTGAGGATATATCAATGTCATTTTCTTTTATTTTTCTTAAATATAAAATTTTCTTGTAACACTAAATCTCAGTCCCTTCCTACATATAGATGGCAAGAGAGAGAGACTAGGAAACTATCATTTTTTTAAGAATTCTATTTACTTTCAAAAAAAAATATCAAAGTTCTCTCTCTCTCTCTCTCTCTCTCTCTCTCCCCCCCCCCCCCCCACCCCGCCCCGCCCCCCCCCCCCCCCCCCCCCCCCCACACACACACACACATGCTCTCTCATTCACTTATTTTATTAGGAAGGTTCTTGTTTTATACATGAATAAAACTAGCTCTACAATAACATTTTAGATGCTATGACCATGCATTAACTTGAAGGATTAGAAGCTAAGCTTTAAAGGCTACTTATTAGAAAAGTTAGGGAAGCATCAATCGAGATTGAATATCAAGACTTCATCGAAACAAGAAAACTCATCCAATGGAGGAGAGACTTATAAGATGGATTTAATTAAGGCACCTTGGAAAATGCTTATAAGAGGTAGATATTCCTTATAATGGATCTATAAACTATGTTATTATCGATAAATCTCAAGCCTCAACTTCTATACATGGTATACAATACTTACTATCTAGAGGGTACTACTAATACCCCTAAGCCACAAAAAGACGAGATGTGTCATTTATACCTAACGAATATGCTCTCAAAGGAAATCACAAGGGCACGAGCCTCATTAAAGTTTAAATATTCATAAATGTATTAGATTTATCTCAACAAACCACATGACAAACCTTGAGTCTACGACATTATAAATTAATATTCATGATGTTATATGGTATTTATTATTCATTAAAACATCCAAAGAGTTGCCACTTAGATGGTTCTCCCATTTTTTATAGGGGAGTATTATATATTTTACTTTATTCATAAGGCACTTCATTATCAAGTTTATAATTGACTAAAGCCACTTGAAAGTTTCGCAACATTGTTGAAGATGAGAGAAGAGTAGAATCAGACTCTATGAAATTTTTAAATTTAATTTGAATAAAATATGCTATAAGTTAAGTATCTAAAGTCAATTGTCACCCTAATTGCACTCACCCAAGGTCTTTTAGATACACTCAAATTGAAGTGACTAAATACATTAGCCAAAATATTCTAACTCGCCACTTACATGTTATTATTGAAGAATAATATATATATTGTAAACATTGACAAGCATTAAATAAAATAATAATAATAATTAATGCAAATCATTATCTATATAAAATAACTAGTCATAAATTTGATATATTTTGCATGATTCATTATTTTATGCAATATGAATATATATATATATATGTATATATGTATATATTGAATATAAAAATGAATTAAATAAATATTTCTTGAAGTATTAATATGACATGGACACATAACATCAACCATCTTAATTTGTTTCATATGATGAGATTTATGCAATTATACCCTTATAATATTTTAAAGTGAGTCCAAAGCTTCTAAACGTGTCTATGGTCAGTTATGACTTATGAGTAGACTTCTAGATTTTGATAAAGTATAAGATGCATTGCCATTAGCATTTTTCAAACAATGCAAATATATATTCAATTTTGCCAATCAAAGTATAATTTTCTCTAAGAAACCTATGTAAGACATATGCCTTAAAAGATAAACAACCATTTTTTAAAAATATTATAATTTATTTTGAAGCTTAATGTAGTGTGAATAAAGATTTGAATGCTCTTTCTTCAAAGTATTTATTTCCTTTTCAAATTGGTCTAAACATAATACATTCAAATAAAGTATTATTTAAATCATCATAAGACATGTTATTTACCTCACCGGTTTAATTATTATTGATTATGAGAGATATATTTACTTTGTCTTAGTCAAATGATTATGTTGGCATATTTGCTAGCATCTCCTTATAATTTGAATCTGCCCACATGACCTTCAATACCTTCTAACTCTTCGTTGATGTGAGTTTTCCATTTCTCAAATGTTCTTCATAGGATATAATTTGAAGTAATCAAGTTTATTATACTTAAAATATGCTAAAGATTTTATCTTTTCACCTGAAAGATTAATTTTCAATTTAATTTGAAAATTAACTAGATTTATTACCTTTGCTATTGCAAAACAATTTTTTAAAATCCTTCCAAGTTGCCAAATTTATAATGCCATTTTATCTTCATCACTTTCTAAAAGTTATGAGTCATTTTCACTTAGATCATAACATTTTAGTACTACATTTTTTAACTTCTTCATCAAGTTTTCCTCTTCCTCATCCCTACCTTAAGCTAACTTTCTATTCATATTCCTAAAGAATATTATACCTAGTCAATCATATAAGATTTACATCTCTAATAATAAATGATCTTTTTACATGATCTCTATCTTTATGTACTTTACCAAGTATGAAACTGTTAACTATTTTCTTGTAAATTGTTCAAGCATCTTACTAACTGTTTCTTTAGTATTCGATCACTCTTAAGAGCTTGTATTCCTGCATTAAGATGTTAATCCTTAATTCTTTAACTTTATCATTTCTCTCATGGGTAATGATTAATTTGTAGCATATCTCAATCCTTATTCTTGGATTACATATTTTTATGCAGCTCTTATATTCTAAAGCACAGTATGTAGTGTTTACACTCTTGCCAATTAGTAGTCCCAAATTTAATTCTATAAGAGTTCATTCTTTAATGAGTTTTTTAATTACTTTATCATAGAACCCTTCAATTATTTTAACAATATTATGATCAAAAGATATTAAAACATTTTTGTAAACTTCAAGGAATCACTCTTAACATGTAAAGCCAAAAACTATACACCCAAACCTTTGATACCAATTTTTTATTTACATGTCTAAGAGGGGTGAATTGGGCTTTTGAAAAGATTAAGATACTCCAAAGGTTTTTTTAATTTTTATAATACAACATAAAGTAAAATAGGTAAATAATGTTAAAATGTAGCCATGAATAAGAAGTGTAAAGATAAATGAGCCTACTAGCAAGCAACCCTTTTTTATGTGGCTTTGATGAAGAATACGCCTATGCTTAGGCATCTACCACTCTTGGTATTTCATGTATAGCCTACACAAAAAAATTATTACTCTGTCATAGGTGAAGAAGCCTTCATACAAATAACAACACAAAAGCCTATTATTACTCTTTCATAGGCTCGACATCCTCTTAGGCCTTTTCAATATTAGACAAATTTATTATATCAATACTAAATAAAAAATAATATTATATTCATCTCAAAAATAAATTTAAATATTTAAACTCATCATATGTAGACGAGAATATTATTATCCATTTCTTTCTCTAAACATGTTGCATAGGAAAACTTGGCGGCGAGAGAAGTGAGCGAATATGAAGGACATAAGTGATATGATTCAAGATTTACTAAATGTACTTTTCTTTAGTTAGATTGTTGTGTAGCCACTTGTGCTACTATTACCGTCTAGTTTAAATTATTGTGTAGCTTTTAGTGCTATCAGTAGTGTCTATTAAATAGACACCATAGTTTGTAATAATGTATGGATAAGAAATCTATTCTGATTTCAGTTCTCTTTAAATGGATTCTTACATACAAATGGGCAATAAAAATGAAGAATACAAGCATTTAAATCACTAAAGTATTGATAAAACATTCATGACCAAGCAAGCAAATCATTTTCTCCGTTTTAGATCTCATTTATTTATTTATTTTTTGTTGAGGGAGACTGATAATTTATAAAATAGATTATTAGAGCACTACAAAATTCACCTTTGATCTAGAGCTTTAGATATTATTTATATAAGATGCCTAGAGTTTTAATAGACTATTTAAATTAATAGAAGCAGATTTCCCAAGTTTCTAGAACCAACCATAATCTAAAAATTAATATTTATTTTTATGATTGAGATATAAGATCGACACCCTCTTAGGCATTGTCACTTAGATATGATCAATATATGAATCCTCTCGGTAAGTTCTTTGACTCATTAACAATTTGATGGCTGTTGATATGAAAATTGTGGATTTTATTGACCTTATTGTCATCAATTTTCACATGAAGTTCAACACCCTCTTAGGCCTTTTCATGATTAGACAAATTTATTATATCAATAATCAATCAAAAATGATATTATATTCATCTCAAAAATAAATTCAAATATTTAGGCTTCATTTGGGACGGCTTTTTTATTGCTTTCTAAAACGGAGTTTTAATACAAATTTTTTTATTTTGGTACTAAAACTCCGTTTTAGAAAGCAATGAAAAAGCCATCACAAACGAAGCCTTAAACTCATCATATGTAGACGAGAATATTATTATCCATTTCTTTCTCTAAACATGTTGCATAGAAAAACTTGGTGGCGAGAGAAGTGAGCGAATATGAAGGACATAAGTGTTATGATTCAAGATTTTCTAAATGTACTTTTCTTTAGTTAGATTCTTGTGTAGCCACTTGTGCTACTATTACCGTCTAGTTTAAATTATTGTGTAGCTTTTAGTGCTACCAGTAATGTCTATTAAATAGACACCATAGTTTGTAATAATGTATGGATAAGAAATCTATTCTGATTTCAGTTCTCTCTCCCTCTCCCTTTCCCTCTCTCTCCCCTCCCTCAAGAAGCTCAAGAGCTTCTTCCTCTCATCCAAGATCCTACAATAAGAATATACCAATTGATTAAATTAATAAAAACTTGGTGAAAAATGATACTATTAAAAAATTACCCTTTATTTATACATTTTGTTAACAAATTCAGCTTCTATCATACAACATAATGTGCATGTACCGATCATTCATAGCAGTGCGGCTATTTCAGAAATGAACCTCTCTACACAAGTGAAAAATGAAGAGAAAACCGCCTAATAATCTCATTTCTCTACGTCCACTTAAAATTTTGCACACAAGAGGCCGTTTATCAGCACTACAAACCACAATTTTCCTTCATAAAGCTGCTTATATTAACACTACCCATTAGCTTAAGATTCAATTCCTTTTCCCTTCTCTAACATACCCACCGCATGCTCTGATATAGAGCCCATGTTCCTTGATGCTTCAGTAACATGAATTGCTTGTTTCAGTTTCTCAACGACCTCACTTATCTTAGGCCGTTCTTTGGCCTGCTTTGCAAGGCAGCTATTTGCCAGTTTAGCAACCTCCCTTGCTGCTTTTAATGAATATTGATACCTTAGTCTTGGATCCATGATCATGTTGAACCTCTTGCTTTCGATCGGAAATTGCTGCACCCATTCCAAAAGCTTCTGTTCATTGACAGGGCGGCTCTCCTCGAGCGGGCGTCGACCTGTGAGGAGCTCATAGAGCACTATCCCAAAGCTCCATACGTCGCTTTTGGTTGTGAGATGGCCAGTTTCAATGTAATCTGGTGCAGCATAGCCGTATGTCCCTAGCACCTGATGAACACAAAGTATTCAAAGTAATGTCTATTTGGGCAAAGATCTATAGTAACATAAATAACTGAAGTTTCTCGAGCAGCAGCGAATCCATACCACATTAAGGAACATTTTTGGCATGATAATTAAAGGTATTGGAACCCTGGATATATTTGTATAACCCAAAAACAATTTAATTCTTGCAAGCAATGTTATTCCCAGAAAGAGTCAAATGCCAGGAAGGAAAAATAATGATGCATGTCTCCGGTATATTAGTCTTCTTTCCCATAAAGAGTAGATATATCAATAAAGGTCCCGTTATGTTGCGTAACAAAAACTTTCATAAAAACAATAACTTTAAGCTTCAGTTGGGGCAAAATTTTTTTCAAAAAAACAATAACTTTAAGCTTCGGTTGGGATGGCTTTTTTACTACTTCTTAAAGTAACCTTTTAGTTCAAAAAATAAAAAAGATATTTTACGAAGCAGTAAGAAAGTCTTCCCAAATGAAGCTTTAGAGGACATTCCTATGCTTCAAGAAAAGTTGATTACATAAGATAAGACAAATTGACATTGAAAAAATTAGTAGAAATGATATGCTTCATTTTTCTTATTAATCATATACTATCCAAATTCCAAAACCAACATTGAAGAAAAAAGAACAAAAAATCAAACAGGCAATCTGTACTTACTGTAGTGGATACATGAGTTCGATCTCCAGTTGGACCCTCCCTGGCTAGCCCAAAATCTGACAGTTTTGGCTTGAACTCATTATCTAATAAAATATTTGATGCTTTGAAGTCTCTGTATATGATCTGCTAAACGATAAATGTCAATAAAAATTCATTTTGAATGAAGCAGCAATTGTTACACTGATCGAGAATAAGGTGTAAGAGAGAGACCGGAACTTCAAAGCCTTCATGTAGATGTGCTAAGCCTTCTGCTGCTCCCAAGGCTATCCTCAACCTTAAATTCCAGGGAAGGACAGAATAAGTTTTGTTAAAAAGATGATCATCTAAACTTTTATTTGGCATGTATTCATAAACTAGTAGCCTTTGGATCCCACTTTCACCATCTTTAGAACAGTATCCAATAAGTGTTACAAGATTTGGGTGCTTAAGGACACCAAGGAGTTGAACTTCAGCCAACCATTGCTTATGTCCCTGATAGCAAAGGTAAATGTAGGATAAGTTACACTAAATTTAAGCGGTTTAATTCTAATATAGATACGGTTATGTGATCATTTCTTGAAGAACAAAACATTTGAATATAACAGTAGTACAATGTGGCTAAACTATAGCCAATTGAATAAAGAATTTAGTAGAGAGCTCGCAATGTTTTGAGTAATGAGAGAACCTCTAAAGAAGTATTCAAAAGAATAAAGATGGTTATTTCAAAATTTTCACCAAAACTTTTGGTTAGATAAAGCATATTTGTATATGAGTGTAGGCAAGATAATTACGATATACAACCATAAACTAAGCATGCTAAAGACAGAAACCACAGACAAGCATTTAGAATCAATCAAAATAAACAATGAAAACAAACACATTAATGCATAAGTATTTACAACCAGCAGCGGGTACCATCTAGTAATTCTAGACGAAAAATGAACTAATCTTTTAAAGCTAAAATAAGCCACTATTAAATGACATATAAGGAATATTAAAGGAGAAAAAGACCAACAAATACAACAGAGATAAGCATTACTAAAACCACCAATAATCAAATACAATTTCAAACCAAAAAAAACAAAAAAAAAAGCCTATAGTCAGAGGGCCAACCACCAGTATTGCAACACAAACATACTATTCATTTATCCATTGTAAAACTAACTCAATAATCTCATGCACATTAACAATCTCCCTCTAACATGTGAACACTTCACATTGACCAATACAACCCTTTAAATGGAGGTTTTTTCAAGCCAACTCAACCATGTGGAGTTGTCATAAAAGTAAGCTACTCTTGAACTTTGCATAAACATGATCAAACACACCATAGGCCCATGGGAGCACAAACTATTCAACCACTTCTCCAAGCTAAAACATCAGCTCCAATACCGCTCGCTAGGGATTTTGGACCAAAATGATACTATATATAGTTAGGCTCAATACAACAGTTATGAACATATTTTCAATTAAAAAAATCTAAACCTATAGCTGGGGGACAATCATTAGTATTTTTATACCATATATTTTCACATGCGGGACTAAAGTTTTTTTTTTTTTAATGCGAGACTAAACTTAATATTATCAAGTGCCTTCACATGTGTTAAATCAAACGAGGCATTTTAATGCACTTATTTCAACCATAAAAATACACTGATGTGAATATTTATTTTTTTATCCTATATGGGATAGTTAAAATATATTAGCATAAATATAGCAAGTTGTTAGTCACGGGCTTTTGGGTTGAATATTGCTCTACTCATTAGTGTATCAGAAGCAAGTTTGATCCCCTTATGTTTAACTTTCTAAAAGTGGTAATAGACTCAACGATTTAGATGAAATTAAGTGGTTCATTTGCCAATGACTCCTATAAATCTTGGCCTTTACACCATGGTTTAGCAATGTTAGTAGAGCAAATGATTCCCACAGTAAATTCACATGGTTGAATAGGCACTTGATGCATGATACATGATAAAGCTTCTTTTTAATAGCTTAACTTGCCGTTATGGTGAGCTCTCACATGACGTTAGATTGTTAAAACACATGAAGCTATGGATTTAGTCCTATATTAGATAATTAAAAATTATAATAGCTTAGAAATACTAAGTAATTAACCTTTACCTATAAGCTTAAGCTTTTTGGTTGAATATGAATTACGCAATTGGTGTATAAGGCCCAAATTTGATCCTCCTTTAGTTTACTAACAATATCCAAGCATAATGGGCATATTAATGAAGCAAAAATTTGGTGTTCACTTCATCATCAATGGTCACATCATTAATATTTCTATAGTTTCCAAGCTATGTTTTATTCCATCAATATGGGTTCAGTTTTACTAATTTTGATTCACTAAACTGTACATAATCAACTAGGTGTTAGCCATTTCTATGTAAGAAACCATGCTTCTCTAGTATCCATCTCTTTTCTATAAAACCTTTCAAAATTAATAGAGTGAAATTCTTATGCATTTAGATGCCATTGGTTAAAATACTTCAAGTTTCAATAAAAAATTCAAAGTTGAGCATGCTTATACTAGAGTTCTCCAATGATAGATGACATGATAGAAGTGTGAAATATTAGTCGAAAGATGGGAACTAATTTCCATGATGGAACTGATTTCCATGACGGACAACGGCCTACGCTAGGAGAGCCCCACTTGAACATGATAAAGATAAATTGCTATATGATAGAAATCACATCTTAAAACTTATAGGGGTTACATCTAGAATTATGTCTACTTGATGAATAAATTTGACTTAAATGTAAGACCAGTAATGAAGACTTAAGTCTATCATGCTCATATACTTCAATAAACCTTTGCATCTCTATCGAATACGGGTTGGCTTAGAGTACACACCTCTGCATGTATTTAGCATGCTAAAAATCTTGATAGATACATTTTTTCCCAACACGGAGTTAGACACTGTCGTATAATATACATCATTACAAGGAAACACAAAAGTTATTTCTATTTTAATAATTTTCCCATTTTGGTTGAAGAATATAAATTATTTGTTGCATTTTGAGTATTTTATGTAGGCAATACAACAATGATATTGGCAAAATCATAAGTAATGATTTTGTCAAATAAGTATCTTTGATGAAATATTGAAATATAATTTAACTAAATGAATGTTATTTTTCCTTTTAATGATACTTAACATTTTTTTGTGACCTAGATATCATAATACTTCATTTGTGACACATTTCAATTGAAAATTTGAGCATTAGATATTTTGATAACAAATTTCATATTATAATTTATAAAAAATATTATGTACATGATGTTTTTGACCAACTTTATATGTTTGTCTTATGCTATTGTTCAAATATCTCATATTGGTGTTTGAATATGGTGTTTGGAGTTTGTGCTTCATAGAAATCAATTCTTTGATTAGGAGAGAGTAAAAGTTATCTTAAATAGGTATTGGAACTCGCTTGAACATCGATGCGATTAGTTCCATCAAGAACTCCAAAGTTATACATGCTCATGTAGTAACCCAAGTTCTCTGGGAAGCTGCACCAAAGGGAGAAAAAAACCATAAGGCATTTGAAACTAAAGCTAATAATATCCCAATGGATGAGAGTAAGGCTTATCTTGGAACAGAAGTTAAAAATAATAATTGTTCAAGGTCATCAAATATAATGTGCTACTGATCTTATCCATATTTATGAATAAGTAGGACATCCAGTGTTTTTCTATAATTCCTGAGGTCTTTATTAATAGAAGAAAATAGAGAACATGAATTGTATAAATTTATTATGAAAAGAGAGTCATGTCTTGTTCTGTTTTTACATAACAAAATAATTATCATATTTTTTGAGATGGATAATGGAGGAACTCTAGCTCAACTGCACCAAAATATAGTGACAATTTTCTGAAATATTTTCAAGCCATATTTTAGGTTTTGTTAAAGGTGAAAAAGGGTCCAAACTTCAAGGGCAGCGCATCTTTTTAGAAGAAAATCTGATGCAACTTTTGTGGCACCCTAAAAAAATATAATAGTTCAAAAACTTCCTCCCAATATGAATTTCTCAACTACATCTCTTCTAACATGCAGCTTTAAAGCCCACAAATCTCACTGATTGATCCCTACTATTTACTTTCAAAATTTCAACTTATATGATCCAAAAATTTCCCCTACCAACCATGAAGAAATATTTCCTAATAAGCTTTCCTAACAAGTGAGTTGCACTACGTACATGGCAACTCACACATGAAGAACACTTAAATAATTCAATTGTTTTATATATTTCTTTGATCTAAGACAAATTCAAGGATAGACTTGAAAGGGACTAATTATCAATAACGTAACAGACAGCAATGTATTTTAATCATCTTCCAATAAAAAACAGAATGCAAATCAATTAAATACAAGAGGCAGAATCAATACCTGCAAGCCTTTCTGGTTCAGAACCTTCACAGCAACCGTAACCCTATCTCCTCTACCCTCCACAACCGCAGACCTAATAAATCCTTTGTAAACGTTTCCAAACCCTCCTTCCCCAATCTTAAGCGTCCGGCTGAAGCCATTAGTAGCGCTCCTGAGCTCTGAGAGCTCGAAGACGCGAAGATCGCCGGCCTTCTCCTCGAATATGGCCGTAATGCTCCGCGGTGACGGGGTCAAGCCCGAGAATTTGGTTGCTTGCTTACCGTCGGCAGAGTTATCTGATGGGAACGTCAAATCGTTTGAAGAAGATATCTTTGCTACCACTCTGCCTCCACCAGCTCTGGCCCTCTCCGGCTCTTTCGAGACCCTGCGTTTGGCTTTGAAGAGAGAGAAACACCCCATTCTCACGCAAAAGCGTTGCCTTTCAACTATTTCTTCACCCAGCACGAGTACATTTTGCAGCTTGGAGGGTGGATTTATTGAAGCGAACCAGAGTTCAGACGCGGAGAAGGAAGAGGAAATGGTACTGTGAGCCAGTGGATGAATTGGAATAGTTGATGGAAGTTGGAAGGGGCCAGTGAGATTAACATAACATAAATGGGCAGTGCCATTTAGGGCAGAAATTATTACATGGGAAAAATAGGTCATGTCAATTTATACACATATTATAAATAATTTATAAATAGGGCAATGTGGTCAATTTTAATTGGAGTTCGAGCTCCGTCGGGCACATAATAATTTCTCCATTTAAAGCATCTCGAAATAAATGACTTTCACTCGTTAATGGCTTACACCAGCTTCCACCCGAATGACAAACCAAAATGTATTTTTATATTTTCTCGTCTATGAATAATGTCACACCAATATTTACATCACGCTATTTATAAAAACCTATTTTTTGTGTTAGAAATGAAGTTTTCGTTGGATGTGAGAAATAGTATACACATAATTTTTTATTTTTTATTTTTTAAAAATGAAGTTCGAATGGAGATGAAGTACTATTTGATAATATAATTATTGTATTTTGATGTTAGAAATATGTTTTTTTGGTTGTAGTTGCCCTTATTCCTCATGATATTAATCAATTAAATTATATATTTGACTAATTTATAAAAAAAAAAATTATAAAAACAATTAACATAAAACAATAAATCTAAAGATAATTATAAAAGTAATTTATAATATAAAATTAAATATTTTTAATTTTAAAATAAAAATTCTAAAAATTTGCTAATTTTTAAGGCAAAACAATAAATTTTAAATATATTTATATAAGATATGCATATACAAAATTATACTGCTTATCCAGATTTTTTTTTTTTTAATATATGTCGGTCATTTGTGCAAGCGGAGCCTGAAAAGGACTTGAGTTTTGAAATTTTATTTATTTATTTATTTTGTCTGGTTCAAATCAGAATTTAACATTCTTGAAGTCTATCTGATAGACTGTACAGTTGATGTTGATTATTAAAACATTTATACTTGTTATTGACATAGACTTATGAGTTTAAATTAATTTGTCATGATTTACTGACAATTATTGGAGAACTTTACATGTTTTAAAAATTATATGTGGAAAATCTAAGAAGGAAAAAAATTATGAGACCTGACTCATATAGTAGGAGATACATGAATCATCCATTCCTCATACTTGAAGAAGATAATATTATTTGCAATTGAGAGCAATGGTTAAAATTTTCTTGAAGAAACACTTTATCATTCCATCCATATTGACATCTTTGATCGTAGATCATTTATTAGATATTTGAATATTTTAATGATATCAAAATCAAATGATCTTAGACTCTTTAGATTCTTCACTTTAAGTTGTTTGATTTAACTATTAACATGTTATAATTGGATCAGATCGTTTAGTCGATCAGTTTATGTTCATAAATTTTCAAACATAATTCAAGTGCTTGATTTGAATTTATTTTGAGATAGGTCATATCATTTGTATTTTCAATAGGTTGGCCTCGTCGAAACGTTCTTTTTGATTATAAGTTTGCTAAAATTAAAATTTAAATGATTCTAAATTTAATTTTAAATGTTTTTAATTTAAATATTTTCTCGAGATTCGTACTGATCATATGATTTTCCAAGAGTTGTATCAATATTTATATTTCAAGTAATATTTATAATTGTTGAAATTATAAAGCATAGAAAATATAATAACATAAATTAAATCGCCATAAATAATCACACGATCTCAAATGATTATTTTACCAAGCACTAAACAAACTATTTATAAAATAACAAACAAGCACGCATCTACTCAAGCATAAATAAACAAGATAACCACCCTATTATTGGATTTTTATCTATTCACTTTTGAACATCTAAATTTTGTAATTCCTATAATGGGAATTAGGCAATTTGTTCTCAACGTAATCCAATATTCTTTAATTAGGAGTAGAGAAGATTTTTTTTTTAATATCTTGTTCTACAATGACTTATTACAATTGGGCCAAGCTACATAGTTTTTCCTCTTCCTCATATTTGAAGAAGATAAAATAACAAATAAGCACGCATCTACGCAAGCATGAATAAACGAGATAACCACCCTATTATTGGATTGTTAGCTATTCACTTTTGAATATCTAAATTTTGTAATTCCTATAATGGGAATTAGTCAATTTGTTCTCAACATAATCCAATATTCTTTAATTAGGAGTAGAGAAGATTTTTTTTTTTTTTAATATCTTATTCTACAATAAATTATTACAATTGGGCCAGGCTACATAGTTTTTCCTCTTCCCAGATTTTCCAAGTAAAATTTTTAGTCTTCAATAATTATTTTCTACGCATATTAGGTTTTTAACAATATTAAGATATTAAACACGTAACACATATCAATCATCTAATAAACATATTTATAATTATTTTACTTTATTTTTTAATTTTATCTCTCCAATACCTTTGCAGACCAAGATGTCATGGAAGACTTATTTTAAGTCGGCCAACGGTATGGAAGTCTTCTATTTCTTTCCAAACAGAAAGAAAAGAATGCTTTCCCAATCAAATAAGAAGACAGGAATGTTAAGGATATAAATCATTCACACTTCATTCACAAAAAATCAGTCAATTTCAATGACTGCTCCATATGAATATATCTTATAGAAAATATTATGCTTTCTCATTTTTATTCAATATATATATATATATATATATATATAATTCCATTCGGAGCCTCTCTTTATGAAGAATTAAAAACACTTTACTTCCACACTCGACGTCTCAAGAAAATATTAATATTTGAGCACTAAAAAAGAAAGATAAAGGATGAGATGAAAAAAAAGTAATAATCTTATTGAATTTTATGTTGCATTTAATTTCTTTTAAATAGTTAATATTTTGATAGATCAGAATTTAATTTAAAAAACAAATGAAACTGTATACTTGCGGTAACTGGTGGTCGGGCTAAAGTCCAGGCGTCAGTCAATGGTTCGATGGAAGTCCAACGGATGTTTGGCGTCAGTTGGTGGTCTGGCGGAAGTCCGGCGTCTGGGAAGTGATCTGGCAAAAGTCCGAGTGTCAGTCGGTGGTCCGATGGAAGTCCGACGTCAGATGGTGGTCTGGTGGAAGTCTAACGATGGTTGAGGAGGAGTTATGTGCCAAGAGAGATTTTAGATATTTCCTTTTTGCTTCCTTGATTGGGCCCCTTTTCATGAGAAATGATGGGTCTATTTATATATTTCTTAGAGCGGCATGGCTAGTAAATACAAGGAAGATCAAGGGTATGTTAGGAGTGATTTGAATGGACGGCTGATATTGAATCCCTTGACTGTGGACTGTTTACTAAACATTTGAATGTCTTAGTAATATCAGAATTCAATAACCTTGGGCTCGTTGGATTCGTCGTATGGAGCTTCTCAATTTGACTATAAACATGTCAAATTAAGAAACCTATGTAATCCAAATTGTTGTTTAAACCTTCCAAAAGTGTTTCAAGTCTTTGATTTGGGTCCATTTGGGCTTAGATTGAGTTGAATTTGGTGTCGTTGGGTTCGCATTTTTGAGACGATCAGGTCACTTGTAAGTTTGTTGAAATTGGAGTTCGGATGGTCCCAATTTTAATATTGGAACTTTCAAACTTGATTTTGCCTCGAGATTTGTGCCCGATCAAGATTATTTTTTGATGATATTATATTTAAACATATAACATAAATTAATAATTATTTATATTAAATTCAGAAACTTATATTTGAATTAAATTTATATTAAATATGTTATATAAAATAATAATAGTATTGATATGTTAACAAATCGTATTGATCGTGCATGAATTTCGAGGTATATCCAAGTTAAAAACTTTCAAAATTAAATTCGGGAACATCTAAACTCCAATTTCAATGAACTCATGGTCAAAACGAACATATCGAAGAGACGAACCGAAAAAACATCAAAATCGGTCCAATCCGAGCCAAAATGTGTCCAATTTGGGAGCCCAAAACTTATTTGTAAGTTTCAATGCCAAAATTAGATGATCAAATAATATTAAAATATAACGTGTTTATAGTAGAATCAAGCAGCTCGATAAGAAAAATCAAATGAGCTCAAGATCACTTAATTATGACATTATTTAGGCACATAAATGATGGTCAAATGCTCTATGATAAAATGGATCAATATAACTTGTCCGATGGAGCACTTCAAATCTACCCAGATCTTCTCCATATTTATGGGGCATGACACTCTTAAAAATTTATAAATAGCCCCCTAATCTCTACTTAAAGGGGGATCTTTGGGCTGGAGATTAGAGATTGTTTTGAGACTTCAAGCGACTTATGCCTGGCCTCCCACCTTCACCATACTTCAACTCAGCCACCGACTGCCATTAGATTTCCACCTAACCATTGTCGGACCATAACTCGACCATCAACCACTACTAGACTTCCGACCACTATCACCAGACTACCTCCTGTCCGCTGACCACCACCAAAGTACCTCCTGTCCGCTGACCACCTCCAGACTACCTCCTTTCCGTCAACGTCGTCGAGCTTCCACTTCGGTCGTCGAACATCATTGGACTTTCACCTGAACCTCGTCCAACCACCGCCCGACCGTCAACTGCAACCGAAATTTTGCCCAATAATTGTCGGACCACCACATGGCCATCGATAACAGCTAGACCACCTCCTGTCAACCAATCGTCGCTAGACTACCACCAGTCCGTCGATAGCCATTGAACCACATCTCAATCTCGACCATAGTAGAACTTCCACCTGACCATCATTAGGCCACCGCCCAGTCACTAACTGCTGCTTTACTACCACCCAATCATCGACCGCCGTTTCACCTCCTACCGTTGTAATCGAACTACCTCCAATCTGCCGACCATCGCTAGTTTCACTTGGATGTCAACCACCACCAAAATTCTTCCCGACCATCATTCGACCACTGCTCAGTCATCCACCACTATAAGACTGTTACCCGGTTATCAACCGCCATTGGACTTCTGCCTGACCATCGTCGGACCATCGTCTGCCTTAAGACTACCTCTTATCCACCGACCACTAACAGACTATCTCTTATTGGTCCATTACTATCGAACTTCCACTCGACCACTGATCTCCTTAGGACTTCCACCCGGCCATTGCTGGACCACCACCAGGTCGTCGACAGCTGCCAGACTACCACCTAGCCATCGACTACCGCCAGAC